TTCGGGCATGGCGCTCAGTCCCAACTGTCGGACCTCGCGCCGGTGCGACTGCTGCAGCCGGCCGCCCTCCCGCAGCGTGTCGCCCTGCCGCCGGCCGTGCCCCGAGCCGTTCCGCTCCAGGTCCCGCGGCTCGCTGAACTGCGGCCGCCGGTCTGGCAGGCGCGTCTCGGTCTGCAGCGTCAGGCGCTGTAAGCGGCTGGCGCGCACCACCTTCTACCCGTGACGACAAATGGGTGGGCCACGTGCCAGGGAGGCGTGGAGGAAGTCACATCGGAGGTCGATTGCGCGTATAAAATGAGCGTCTTCAAGGTTGCGTGGACCTCGTAACATTGCCGTATCGCCATGTTATTGTATGCTAGACAGCTGTGTGGCAGAGCGTATCGTGACAGCTCGTGGACTTATGGGCAGGTAATTTTTTGAGCATGCAGATATACCTAGTACACGCTTTTTAGCATCAACAGATCAGTTGATCCCTTTTCTATATAATGGTACGTAGGCAGACATGTCCCTCGGGGGCATTCGTTTGCTGATGTTAATTTATCGGCGGCGAGCGACTTAGCAAGGCTTATTGCGTCGGGATATTTACAATGTCTGTAAAGGTTCGTACGCACGGGTGTGTGAGGACTTATGCCGGCTGGGATTTAAAAAAGTGACGTCCATTTTCACGTACAATAGCATATTCGAATACAGTCTGTTGGCATTTTGTGCTGCAGTCTGCACTGTCTTGGCCGCTTCCGGAAAATCAAATGTGGTGCTTTATTCCAGTGTAATAACGGTACAGCCTCCTGGCCATCGGGGAGGGGCTCCAACCCACGGAACTTTGGAGAGGAATTGGGTCGGCAAGAATCCGCTTGGCTATATTTGGGTGCATGTTGAGCCATATTTCCCCGCGCAGGCCCGGTCCTAACTTGCTTTGCGCCACACACCCTCCCCCCCCCCCCCTCCCCTCCCCTCCTGTGTCGGCTGATGTAATGTGCGAGCTATAAAGGAATTTTTGCAGCTCGTACAAGACAGCGCAACACCCAGACCTCCAGCCACGGAAACTCTTCCCTCCGCGCCCACTCCCTACACTCTGCTGCGTGGCACGTTTTCCATGACACTGTTTATGTCAGATTTTCTTCATACCTAGCCATCATTGTATGATGTCATAGACGACATACGACTCATCATTCCACGCGCCGTTTTGGAATGTCGCTTACACTTACTTGCATAATTTCATGGTGTGACCTGGCACGGCCAATGGTGGTCACACAGAACCATCCCCTCAATTTGTGATGCAATTTGTACCTGAGTTCGCCATGATGTTTTATAATTGGCAAAGTCGGGCATTGATATGGTATATGGTGACCTCCAGGGGTCAGAACTGGGCGCCCGCGAAAATCCGAGACCCGTGCTTGTAATCTCGGATGTTCTCAAATTACAACGATTGTAAAAGAAATAGAAGAGGCTAGGATTTTCTAGGCTGTGTCTTTTTCTGATCAAGTCAATGAGAAATCATGCTTTCGGCGAACAGTTGATCATTTAAGACAAAAATTTATCTCCAGGGCTATGCGCCAATGAAAAATACTATCGATACGACTCGACTTACCATTCCATGAACTGTTTGGTAATGAGTCACATATCCTGCTCACTACAAATTTCGAAGGGTTCGTCGTTTTCTGCTGAATATGATCCAAATTGAAAACGACTGATACGGAACATACTTCACCAAACGACATCTCCAACGCCCACAGCGGGGGGGGGGGGGCAAATCACGCTAGCGGTAGACTCGGACTCCGCTTCTACCTGCAGCAGGGGCAGAACTTCACTATTGTCCCGGTTTTTGGTTGTACGATCCCCGAAGCTGGACTCTCGGGGCAAAAGAATTGTCCTGCGTCTGAGTGCATTCCAATGTTGACAAGCATTCTCGAAGAAAGGAAAGCGAAAGGACTTGCGTACGCTGATGAAGGCAAGGGTGGATCCGGGAGATGGGGGCCGACTCCCCCCCCCCGCCCCTCAAAGGTCGTGAGACCATGGTTCCCCTCTCCAACGGTCCGACGTATGCTGTTATGTGCGTGCACCGGCATGTTTCCAACAGTTAATGGCATAGCTGGTTTCTCGTTCTGCCGCTGCTGGGACAGTAAAATGTGTCAACAGTCGACACACCCGCAGCCTACGGCGGTTGCGGATCTAAAATGACTTGTTCATTGCTGGCGGATGGTTAATCCGTTATGACATTGACATTTAGAGATGGGACTTAACCCGCTATTCTTTTGCCGGAATACCCCAGTGATCAGAACGCTGATGACCATGGTGCATCATTACACTCAGCCTGCCGGTCACAGATTGTTCTATTCACTGCACACAGCCGTTCCACGCACGACACAGTGACGTGAACCCACGCCACGACGCCGGGGTCATATCATGCATACACACACGCGCACACACACACATGCACGCACGCACGCACGCACGCACCCACGCACACACACACACACACGCGCGCACACACACACGCGCACACACACACTTCAATAACGGTCTGTCTCTCTCGTAAAAAAAAATAGTGCAGATCCGCCGCTGGATGGGGGTATTGGGGTGAGGTTTACGAAGGACGGGGACATTAAATGAATGCCGGGGACCAATGAGCTTTCCTTCAAGGCACGTTTATATGGAGGGATCAAAAGTGCCTTCTGCTGTGCGTTCCTCTCCACGCAATAGCTTCGTCAAGAGTGTGGTAACGTGTCGCGATCGCAGTATGTGTGCAGGTGTGAGGTATGTGTGAGGAGTACGTGGTTGATGGCATGTCTGGTGATGGCGTGATGACGGCGAAGCGCATCAGAGTGGGGAGAGAGGGAATGCGTCGGCATCGGCACTTTCGTCTTGACGTTTCGGTCAGTGGCAGTGCCAGTTAGGCTATACGTGGCTACTTTTCCATCCCTGTTAGGATGTATGTACCGAACCCATTAGACATTTGGACACGTTACTGATGAGGGGTGGAAGAATATGCGGTGTGGAAGGTGCGCGAAGCAGGACATCAGTGCTCAGACTGTAAAGCCGAAGCAGTTGATTGTGTCAACTGTGGTCAAGGCGTGTTTTGTCGTTCTGAGGCTACTCAGTGCTTCCGACGCAGAAAGCCATCATGGGCATCAAGACGAAGGGGAAGTTTTTTTTAGATAGGCCCAGCGTTGAGACGTTCACATGAATGTGTTACGGACAAGTCCCGCCCGCAGATAGGCATGCAAGCACCGCAGCCAACCCGATTTTACTAAGAGGATCACATGCTAACGCGCGGTGTGTGATCCGTGGGGCCAAAAATGCATCGTATTATACTGCATTACTTCGATAAAACCACCCTCAGTGGGCCGTGGCTATTATAGTCCCGTATCTAAAGTACAGGAGGTAAGCTGGACATGCAGGTAAAAAAACAAAACATGAACACACAAACACCCGTTCACCGGCTACCAATAGCATAAGCGCTCAAGCAGGTGCTCTCTCACTTCGCGTGTGAAACGCTGCTGTGGCAGTTGTGTGATGCCGGCTGGCAGTGCAGCGTGCAATGCTGGCGCATGGTACCCAAGACGTCTCCTTCCGGGCCTCGGTTCTCGACCAAGGGAGGCGTACGAGTCTGTCCTGCCGAGCGGGTCGCGTACGTGTGTCGTGGTTTAACACACCCTTGGCCCTCAGAATAACAGGCCCACCGTGCAGCATCACCTTATGAGCCAGGGTGCCACCTGAAGCTCTTCCATGTTCTGAAGCGACATCTATCGAAGTGTTCCACGCAGGTCAAAGACATGGTGAAGTCTACTCGGCCAAACATCACCGGGGCAGCAAAGCTTAAGATCTTTTGTATTCTATCAAAGTCCGCTTGTGTGTCATTGCCGTAAACTGTGAGGCAGTATCTGGCCTTCGTAAGCACCATCGCCGTCACTTGAATTTTGATGACTCGACCTAGGGAGCTGCATCATAGTACACTGAAAGTAGATTTATCCCTACGTCCGCAAATTAACTCATCGCCGATGGGTAATGCATTATTTACTTGCCTGCGAAGGATTTTCATCATAGTTTGCTACTCAGTCACGATTATTCCGTGATGACAATGAATCTTTTCGGGCGTAAAATCTGTTCACTCTTCCTGCTTAGATGGTGTTTACTGGTAACCTGTTAAATGCCTGAAATAATGGACTAATTGCCCGGATAATGAATTAGTGAATAGTTCGGCATGCATAATGCTTACATGTAATGCCTGATACGCTTGACTATAGTCAAGCGTATCAAGCATTAATCAGTTTACTCCCCTCGCAAAAATACGTAACTGAATGTACCGGATAGCAAAAAAGGCTTGTGCCACCATCTGTTAACGCCTTGTCAATGGCTCATAATGATCGAGCTCAGTCATGGGCACATGACAACAGCAGTCGGCGCGAACTAAAACCCCGATCCTCATCGAACTTGCAGCTGACTTCTCACAGGTGCAATTGAGATGCCTCGCGATATCAAACCTGCACTGTCACAGGTCGCGTAATTCAGAAGCTACGAGAAATCATTCGCTGAAACCTATGGTTTTTGAAATCAGCGTTTCAAGAATGCCTTCCACACACAATTTAGACGGTATCGAGACGCCCGAACATGGCAGTACGATATTAATCTGCTGCTAGGTGGACGGACGTCCGCAGCTGGGTGTTGGGTGACCAGATATGAAATGCGCGTGCATCCTACGTCATGTAATCCAAAGGAAACCTAGCTGTGATGGACATATGCAAGCGTTCGAATGTCTGGCGTCGGCAACAAGCTTCGTTCTTGAAAGGGTGTGCTGGACGACCATTCATCACCTGTCACCTGTCACCTGTCACTTGTCAGCAGGGCAGCCTTCTCCATTTAAGGCAGGTGTCACCATACCATTCATCCAAAAATTAAATATTTGGTAGCCGTAACTGCTACCATATTACGACATATCTGGAGCGTCATCGACGTTCTCGCGTGAATTTGTAAGGAAAAAATGAGTGCGTGGGAAGTGTGAAAACTGGGTTTGGCTTGTTTTTGTCGTTCGTCTTGTTTTCAGTGCTGGAGCTGTTAACGAGTAATCTGCGCTGCGGCACTGTTGGAATAAAATGTGGGTAACTTCTGGTGATCTTGTGGTTTATTATGCCGCTGACTTTCGCGTGCTGTCAGCTGTTCGCGCCAGCTCCGTGTGCGTTGCTGGATGCAACATTTGAATGTTTGCGTACCATTACCAACACTTTCATGTTGCATCATGTTCATTATCATTTGAAAGTAATTGGGTTCTTTAAGTCAATATACTTTCTGGGAATACTGTATTGCAGTGTAACAGGACTTACTATTATTTGTGAGTTTGTGAAAGGTAGCAGAGTTGCTGAATATATGGGACAGGTCCAATTCTTCCCCAAGCAGGGCAGCCTTCTCCATTTAAGGCAGGTGCTAATGATTTGATAACCAGAGAGGAGAGCAGGTCTCAAGATTTTCCTAATAATTTACACCTGCTGACCATTAATTACCAACACCACTATGGTCAAAGTGGGTCAAAGACACTGGCTTTGCCATCCAATGTTTTGGATGTCACCTTGAAAATGCTAAATTTATATTATAAAAATATGTGCTTAACATCTTGCAATGTGAAGGACACAACCCATCAATGTAGAGCAGCAACTCTAATTGTTGACCCATCTGGTGTGGGTCTGTTTGCAGCTGTTGTATCTGCTCAGCACAAGTAGCAGAGGCTCGAGTGTGTTCTTCTTCACACTCGAGCAGGATTTGTTGTCAAGCTCATCATTTAATATGTGGATCTTTGGGTATAGGGGATGTGTGAGTAGCAGCATGCTGACAGACAGGCAGCATACTACTGACAGACAGGGTAATATGACAGTGATTAAGACAACTATGATAAAGTTGAGACAAATTAGGCATACTCAGCCTTCAGGTTGTGTTTGCCTGTATGAATTCTCACTCCTTTGTTTTACACATTCAAATTTTTCAATTCCAGCCTGATCTCCACCCAAGAATTTCCTGAACTTGCTCCAGATATCAATTTTGCCTCAACTCTGCTCCAATGACTTGTCATCATAATATGCCACATTTTGCAGACCAGTATGTGTTACCATAGAAATCCATGTGTACATGTATTTCCAGCTTTGGTGTGTGTATGTGTGTATTTGTGTGTGGTGGGAGGGAATGAGTGTCAAAAAGCATATGGAGTTGGGACAAAGAGAAAGATCAGGTAAGTACTTGTCATGTGAGAGCACATCTTAGTCTTAATGTTCACTTTTACCATATCATAATAGCCATTATCATCAGCATGAATCAGCATTTCTCCTCAACCATGGCCAGTCTTGACAGTTCAACTCTCTTTGTTGTAATTCATGAAATCTTTGTTTCTAAACTCCTGTGGTGTAGTCAGGCACAGGTAGTGATAGTGTATAAATATACTTTGAAATGACAATTGGCAGCATTGTCTTTACAAATGCCACACTTGGGTATCACAAGATTCATTGTACATATATGAGGAATAACAGTGCATTGGTAAGTATTCTATAGTACTGTATGGAGGTGTGTAATACTCAAAAAATGTTCCCCAGTGGTATCTTCCATAACTAAACATTGGTACCAAGTCAGTTGTGGATAGCCTAAGTAATTTCGATCTGTATCTGCACCTGTGTCTGGTGTGTGTGTCGCTCAGTCTGCAAAAAATCAATTGACTGGGTGGGATGGGGGTGCCGGTTGTGAAGTGGTTCACCGGTCTGAGTTAACCACCGCGGTGACGCCATATGGCCTCAGCAGCTGAGTGCGTCATATACCCCCAAAGACACGCAGACTGGATGGTACGCCTACTCAAAATCGACTGCACTGAACCTCACTGTCATGTGTGCTGAACTCAGGCTTGCCAAATTTGTCCTGCCATTTCAAGTTGCCTTTTGTGTGCACATGTTTTTGGATCATTTTTGCCAGAAACTGCCTGTGCAACATCATATTTCTCTGAGACACTGGCTCTCTGTGTGCTCATGTTGGTAATTGGTGTCTCACTGACTGCCACGGCCATTTCGAGACTGGGATTACCCTGCCAACCACCTTTGTGCTGTGTAAATGTGAACTATGCACCTGTTTATGTTTGCATAATAACAACATTGATATTCCTCTGAAACTATTGTTGTTTATTACCTTTCCAGCTTATCATGTTGTCCATAATTTTGCAGATCATTTGACACCTTTAACCTCCCTCCTATGACACTATATCAGGGCTATTTCATATATATTCATATATTAGGATCACAGGCATGGGGACGAAGCCAGACTCCTGGCTTTCAACCGAATCCGACGCCAAGACAATGAAATGAGGCTGAAGTCAGTGGTAAAGCCAGTGGCTGTAAAGTTTGGGACTGCGAGTCCTTACAAACTGATCAGTGTAAAATCACGAGATCGACGCGGAAGCCCCGCCCAGTGCACGACGTTTTGCGAAACCAAATGATTTTCACGTCCGCTAGAACTGCATGAGATAAAACTATATAATCAGGGTGTTTTGCAATGATTGAGACAAGTTGCTAGCATTACAGACAAAACAAAGCATTACATGGCAAAAGGCTTAACCTGACAGCAACTCTTTGAAATACCACTAAGCCAAAGAAGGAGACAGGAATAGAAAGCCTGTTCGAAGGCTTCAAGGGAGGGTCGAGCTCAAAGCCGTTTGCGAAAAAGCTGCAGCTTCGTGAATCCGAAGTCAGCTGTGTTCCCATGCCTGATAAATATGCAGCCAGTTAATACCTTTCCCCGTCCACCGGTTTGCAGTTATGGATGGTACCGTAGTTTGTTCCGTGATTGCCTAGAGCTTTGCCATTATCTGATTTGTTATGCGTTCATCTTCAAATCGCATGTCTCTCATTTACTGGGCAAGTTACATAGATGGAATGTATCGTTCAAAATTATCAATTAAGATGGCAAAACTGCAGTTGGAGACGTAGGAATGTTAATGCAGAATTGAATGCCTTGGAACTTAAGTGTGACATTACTAAGACTCATTGGCTTATCACATGGTGTATCATTTCAGAAGTAATTGAAACAAGTCACACCATTTTGCGTGCTGATGCGTCTCACTTTCCCACGCAGGTGACCAGGACATGATTGAAGTGGACCACCAAGACTGACACTGCCTGTTCATCAATACATATTCCCATAATGGGCTTGATACTATCGCGCTTTCGGGTAAGCCGCATTGAAACTGTGGTCAGTACATCACCTTTTCTCATGGCACTGCATGTGCTTGAAGTAGCGTGAGAAAGCATGAGCCAGCTAGTCAAATGAGGGATTTTGTTTTTTTCAAATTGAATGACAGTGTTTGATGCATGCATATGAGTTAGTGCAATGAACTGAGACAGAAGTAGATGTGTGGGTCATTTGACACACGCGAGAAGACACCCTATGTGAAGTGACCCAAACGCATCGTGGAATGAGAGCGATGCATGACTTTATCCATTTCCGCTGCCGTCCACCATTAAGGTTAAATGTCTGTATTGTAGGATTGGTAATATGATGTGTGGCTCTTGTCTGGAGGAGAACCAGGCCTGTCCGATCAAAGCCGCGCCCGTGCCCCGTGTGACGCCGTTCTTCCCCGGCTGGCGCAGCGCAAGGCGTCGACCATCGAGGTCCTTCAGAAGATCGAGGACGACATGGGCTCCATCGCCGAGAACGAGGCGGCCGTGCGGCGCCGGCAACGCCGCCTGGCGGCCGTGGTCGTAGCCTACTCGGCCCTGCTGTACGTGCTGGCCGGGCTGCTGTTCTACTACCGCTACTTCCCCGACGACGTGCTGACGCGCCTACTGTGCGCCGGCGCGCTGCTGCTCTTCCCGGCCCTGTGAGTCTCGTGTACGGAGCGCCGCCCTCGTCCGGCTCCGGACGGGGCTGGAATGTGTGGCGCTAGTTGAAGGGATTCTCAGGCTGTAGTGGCTGCGTTGCCTGAATGCGGTCTTAAAGTTGTCTTCGATTGGTTCAGCTGTATTTTTGAGGGGCTGAAGATTTTAGTAAGGAAAGATAAATGGCGCTACCTTCGCGCTTAAATATGGTGAAATGTTCGTATCTAAAAAAGTAATTGTTGCTTTACTCAAGGTGTTACTTGGATTTAGCGATTATTAACAGTTCAGGTCTTTTGGATAATATTCTAATTTCCTATCCTATTTGTAGGGTTTACTCTCTTAAGAGATTGATGACATGGTACTACGAAAGAAAGATACGTCAAAATGAAACCAGATTGGCTGCATTGAAGAAAAAGAAAGAACAGATCTTGGAGGAGGTCCAAGACAAGGAGACGTATAAGGTCGCCAAGGAGATCCTGGAGAAGTTTGCTCCTGAGCAGCTGCGCCGATCACCGGTAAGGTATCATGACCGTAGCCGAGCGGGGGGAAGGCATGTCGTTATTGGGACTACACTTCCGAGCTGCTTGACTCGTTGCCCTTTAGTTGTTACGGCCTCATTTCGAACACATTTTGTAGCTGCCGTGCTCGAACACACAACGCACGCCACCGCTGCTGTGTGACTGCAAGCCGAACCTCACGAAAACGATGCGTCTGGAATATTGTCCATCGCACCAAGGCAACCAAGAGCATCACGTTTAGCCGTCCACGCCGCCGTCACAGGGTCACGCATGCTGTAAGGTCGACCAAATTGAAACCACTTTACCACAATACCAGTGGCTCGTGAACAACGGTCTTACCACGACAGCCTTCTGCACTGGGCAGCCAAGTGGTGGCCTGCTGCGCCTATCACATCCCTTTCCTGGCAGTATGCTGCAAAACAAACAGGTCACTGTGTTTCTCACAAAATGCGAGGCGACCAAATGCTTTGTGGAACCGAACTGACAGACGCACCACCACCACGACCGGCGCTACCATCGCCACCACCACCGGCGCAGTCACCGATGCGGCCACCGACGCTGCCACCGACATTGACACTGACGCAGTCACCGACGCCGCGACCGACGCCGGCACCGACGCTGCCACTGACGCAGTCACCGACGCAGCGACCGACCCTGGCACCGATGCTGCCAACGACGCTGCCACCGACGCAGCGACCGGCCTCGGCACCGGCGCTGCCACCGACCCTGGCACCGACGCTGCCATCGCCGCTGCCACCGACGCTGTCATCGACGCTGTCACCGACGCCGCTACCGACGCTGCCACGGACGCTGCCATCGACGCTGCCATCGACGCTTGCACTGACGCTGCCACCGACGCTGCCACGGACGCTGCCACGGACGCTGCCATCGACGCTGGCACTGACGCAGCCATCGACGCAGTCACCGACGCTGCCACCGACGCTGGCACTGACGCTGGCGTCACCGACGCAGCGGTCGACCTTGGCACGGACGCTACCACCGACGCTGCCATCGACGCTACCACCGATGCTGCCACCGGCGCTGGCGCTGACGCCGCGACCGACGCAGCGACCGACCTTGGCACTGACGCTGCCATCGACGCTGCCACCGATGCTGCCATCGACGCAGCCACCGACGCCACCGTTATCGAGGCCGCCACCGGTGCCACGGCCGTCGAGACCACCGACGACGTCGTCGCATCGACGCCTTCCTCACGGGACGCCCCAGGCTGCTGTTCCGCCACCGCTTCTTCAGCCATATCAGTCAGAGCTGACCTGACGATCGCGGGCCCCCGGTGCGCCGGCTCCTCTTCCACGTTCATGCCTTCAGGTAGCTCAGCCGCAGCTGACTCTTCCAGTGCCGTACTCTCAGCTGCTGTCTTGGTAGGTTTGTCCGCGATTGCCTCCTGTGTCCGATCACCGGCAGACACGGCGTGATTGGGCGATGATAGTTAGCCCCGGCTCACGCCTGCTCGCCGCAGTCGAGCTCTTGCCCCCGCCCCCCCCCCCCCCCCCTCATCCGTCCTCATTTCGGTATTTGCATTGACAGAAGGAGGATATGCTAGCAAGGGGCACGTTCTTTAGACAAGTACCATGCGCTGCTGCCCCCTTCCTTTTCGGACCCTTTAGTCGAGGGGGCGTGACTTGACCACTTAAAGAAGACCCTCAAACTTGGACCTCAGTACACCGTTTACGTCTTTTCGTCATGTGAAGTTTTGCACCAGACCACGTCTCCTTTCCTGGAGGTGCCCTGATTGTGGTCCGTCCGGATCGCTTGCTAACAGCGCTGGTATGATTCCACGACACATCGCTTGCGGCAGGCATGTTGCCATCTGCCCTGGCGTCTGGCACCTCGGCAGGAAGACTCCTATTAGCTTGGTGAAGATGCCGGTGATGACCAGGATACGTTGGTATCCATCTTCTGTTCAGGGAGCTCAGTCACATCAGCAGCTCACTGTCGTCAGTGGGGCCTTACGCCGCGCTCAGCTGCTGGAGCTGTATTGTGCTGCCTGTCTCCCACCTCGGCAGGAAGGGCGGGCACCGAACTCTACCTACGTACCTCTGGTTTCTCATTTGTGCAGTTTAATCACTGCACGATCGGTACCCCAAGCGAGTCATGGCCGCGCCCGTGGCCTTGAACACAACATGAAATGTCGGGTTTGAACAATATGACCACTGCTTGTTTAATCAAACGTTTAACCAGCACCTCCCGTATTTTAAGCGGGTTTTAGAGGGGTTTTGTGGTATTATTGGACCTTTGTTATCCAAACATGTCTGGTGTCAGGTCTCTGTTCTTTTTCAACATCTGTTTGCAAACAGTCCCAGAATATTCTCTGTGGAACCAGAAGTATCGCATTTACTTTGCAGCGGGCGCCGTTTCAGTGCGTGTTTTGGGTTGCCGCCATGCTATGTACATAAGCCCGGTCGCGATCGGTCGGCCGCCGTACAGCCCCTGACTGGTACTGTGCGTCTGCCCTCCCCCCCCCCCCCCCCCCCCCCTCCGCCCAGCACAGCCCCTGACTGGTGCGCTGCGTGTGCCCGCAGCTGCGCCCGGCCAGCACGCCTCTTGTGCCGCGGGGCGGTGACGCAGGTGAGAGGCGCCAATACCGCCGCCACGCCCACCCCTCCTAGCTGACTGCCCGGTCACCGGGGCCGCGGTCAGTGAGTGACGTGACAGACGTGTCACCGAGTGTCGCGCAAAATTGTGCCTCTGTCGAAGCTTGATGTTACAGCGTATCACCTCTCTGACGTCCAAGTGCGTGCGTGCGTGCGTACGTGCATGTGGGTGTGGGTGTGGGTGTGGGTGTGAGTGTGGGTGGGTGTTTTTTTATGTATATACATGATGTATGTGTAATATGCATACATACATACATAAAACATGCATGTATACATACATTAATATCACATCTGATTCGGGGTGGGGCGTGTTCCGGCAGGAGGCGCCCGGCAGCGGCAGCTGGCTACATTGACGGCCCCCCGGGGCCCGCTCACCTCAACCCCGTTGGGCGCGGCCGGCCGCGGTGCGCCCCAACCCGGTCAGTGTCGCTGGCCTCGGTGGCGGCTGTGGGGCGTCGAGGAGGAGTGGTCGGCGGCGGCCCGGTCCTTGCTGTGTGACTGGGGGCTGGGTTCCCGGCGCGCCATCACTGGACACGTGACGTTGCGAGGGTCGCGCGCTTGTCACATTCGCTCACAGTCGTGCACAGGCACATCTGCTTGCAGCTGTACATAAGACTCGTAGTTCGCACCTCCGGACGTTGACAGCTGAGCAAATGTCGCCTGCCATTGATCGCGTGACAAACCTGAACGCGTGCTGTGGGAGCATCTCTTTCGAGATATTACGGTTACGGGTGTCAGCACTGGAGCTGCCACAGCTTTACCACTGGCGACCTTGACCTCATGGATCTGAAGATCGCGGACAGATTTGCACGCACACCAGTTATCACCAGATGTTGGAAAGATTGTTTCGTATATTCATATGAACTAGCAATCACCAGGGGTCGTGACTGCTGATGATGCTCGGGGCCCTGGCGGCACGACCTCTCTCATGGGCCCTTCTCGGCGCTCCCTGCGGTGTTCGGGGCGGCGTGAGCGCGCGGTGCTGTCGCTCTGTGTGACGGTGACCCTGTGCCGCGTCAGGCATCGGCGCCGGCCGGTACTCGGGCCCGATGGCGCCGTCTCCGCTCGTGCCGGCCGGCCGCGGTCTGCCGCCCGTCGGTGAGTACTCATCCTGCGTCTGCTGCCCAGCCGTCGCCGGCAATGGTCCACAGCTGTCGCGGGCCGGCTCTTGTGCAGGGGTGACTGCCGAATTTCACATGGGTTTCACTTGCTCAACTCGCCAAGGTGGTGACCTCAAAGTTGTGCCTGTTGGTCATCGCCCAGTCATTTTGCAAAGTGTGGTGGATAGGTGCAGGGGCATGAGTGTACCTAACTCAGGTTGGTGGCAAGGGGGAGGGGGTCACTTCCTGAAGTCAGTTGGGGGGGGGGGGCTGAGCCAATTAAGTTGACCTAACCAGTTCCCAAATCCTGACATCTCCCCGGATTTTGGCCACTTGAATTTGTGTCCTGATGCCAAAATGAAATTTAAAGAAACATTTGGATTCAAATGCTGTTTTGATCTTGAAGAATGCCATCCCATTTGAAGCTGACGTGATTATGATGATGTTAATACATGATGATAATAATATAAATTATGGTGTGATGAGATACCGAGTGCAGCAGCAGTCCAGAGCTTACATAGTTGGCCGTCATTAGCATACAAAGTGACCCCCCTGGTTGGTGGTGCCCGGGCCACGAACCCCAGTAACTTTTGGGTTGATAAGTTTTTTTTTGCGTTTAGAGCACATATGAAATGGCACAAAGACAGAAATGAGTCTAGTTACGTCCATGGATATGGCCATGCGTCAAATTGGGTTTGAGTTGTTACTACCGCATTGCAATGAATTTGAATGCAGTGGACGAGAACGTCATGTACTAGTGGCGTTGATACAAGCGGTTGTTTGTTTAAATAGCGTGGTCTTACGTTAGGTTTAGAGATGCTTTGCACGGCTTACCTTCACGATGACAGCTGGAATGCCCTTGGGCGTTTAACGGTGCAGGATGCATGATTAGTACGTATTATACCGCTGCGGAGGTATAATGCCTGCGAGATACCTAGTGTAGCGGTATAGTGCCAATGACCTGCCACCAGCGCGCTGGTGGCAGTCCAGTGCAATGTTTAAGTATACCTGGTGTAAGTTACAAAGGTCTTGTGTTGTTGAGTTTTCGGTGCTATGGGCTGAGAGTTTTAATTACGACAATAATCGACCTTCAATACATCGAAGGAAATACCTACAATTTAAACGTTGTCAAGAAAGTTATGGCAATAGTGACAGGAGGCGACGCTTCCAGCTGTGCTCATGGTCATTAATGACGAGTACTGTGTACATAGGCAATACGCCTTTTAGACAGGTGCAGAGTGTAATGCACATCGATCATGGCCGAAGGCGTTCCTATTCGTAATGTGGTGTAAGTACACGATGTGGCGTGTGTGGGGGCAGTTCCTCTGGTAGCTCAGTTGGTAGAGCGGTGGACTGTAGTGGTTACGGACGGACATCCATAGGTCGCTGGTTCAAATCCGGCCCGGAGGACTTTTTCGGTTTGTGGCGTTTTTCGTCTCCTTTGCGCATTCATGTCGTTGAAATCCGCCCTGTAGAATTTTTGTAATTCGCGACCTTTCGGTGGTTATTTCGTTTCGTAAGTGGAATGGTTTTATTGCATCTGTAAGTGGTAGCAAAATTGGAGAGCCATTTTCGGCAAAATTCGGCGTGGATCTAACTTCTACGAGGCGTTTGCCCAGGCTCTGTCTCATCCAAGGTACATTACCATGACTAGCGGGACCTGCTCATTTTCTGTCAAGTCGAACATGATTTATGAATGGGTTCTAGAATTGTGTTGCAATGCTTGCAAGGATATTATATAAATATTACGATTTAACCCCGTACGTCATTAGAGGAACCACTTCCTTTGTACTGAAAGTTACGGCATCGCGGCCTGTCATCTTGCTTGATAACACCTGAAGGGACGCACCGAAAAAATGTTTCGGTCGCAATAGATAACAAGATGCCACATAATGCGATACCTTTCTTGATGATACGTTTCTTTTCACGCGGTCATAAATCTGTACAGCTTTAACCCTATCATGTGTCTGTGAGAAACGGACAGGGGGAAAAGGAACGGTCGGGTCAGTTCCTTTGTGAGTTTCCTTACAGTGGCGTAGCCAAGAGGAGCTTTTTGGTCAATGCGAGGTAATTTTGTTAAAACCATGCTCAATAAACAAGTAAAACATGATTTTTAAACATTTTTGTGAAAATCAGTGGACCGCAATCCTCATTATCGTCTCCAGCTTACCACGAAGGCTGCCAGATTGGCGGAGTATTCGCGTAAAAAAACAGCATCGTCAGCACTCATGATGAGGTGAGATCAATGAATACAAGAAGCCAGGTCATCAGTGCACGGTGACAGCGTCATTGACCTTCGCCCCGGTTGGCGCGCAGGGCCGCGCGCTGGGCCGCCGCTGCCGCGGCCGGTGTTGCCCCGCGAGCGCGGCTACATGGACCGCATGATCGACTATCTGGTGGGCGACGGCCCGGCCAACCGGTACGCGCTCATCTGCCACCAGTGCCAGAGCCACAACGGCATGGCGCTTAAGGAGGAGTTCGAGTACCTGGGTGAGTGCCGGCCGGGGCGTCCTCCGTGGGCGTCACGCTCGCGCTGCCAGCTGGGGCCGATGTTGCGGCCCGGCCAGCGGCGAAGTTTCGTATGGTGTATTGGGGAGGGGGTCTAAGCCGTGAAATAAGATGAAACGTTCTCCAAAAATTCACTGACCGGATTTCTCCCCGGATTTGACCCACTTTTCTCTCAAAGTTTGGGTGAGGCTGGAGGGCGGGGGGTTTCTTACTTAAATTGTGGTTGAAATGTTCCAGTTCACTTAAATATTTATGAGGATTGGTAACTAATTATTTAAGAAAAATGAGTGGAACCACACCATATTGTCAGCACTAATCTGCTGAAACCTGCCGTGGCGCAAAGTAAGGACATAACAATTGTCCATTTCTAACGTGGGTTTAGGGAAGGGCTCTACAATGCCTTGGGATGAAAAACGTAAAATGGCACCCATGTTTCATACACTGCCGTTACAACGCACTTCGTCATTTTTAACTTTGTCTTGCGTCCCATTCGTCGTTTATTCCGGACGGTGGCGTCGCAGTGCTTCTATCCCTCTGTGGGGCTGCGTTACCAGGGCATCTTTGAGGGGTTGTAGAGGACGAACATGTCCCTTATCAAGTGTATTGCATGCATTCAGTCACGGGCAGATCCAGGGAGGGCCACGGCTCCTGTACTTTTGGACCTGCGTGGATGTCCAAAGGTAGAAGAATGGTGGGGCCGGCAAAATTTGTCAACCCCAGGAACTTTCACGATCACAACGGCTTGAGTGTGGTCCATGCAGGGGAATGACCACTTATGGCGATTCGGCATGCGTAGTGCTTCGACTTATATCCGTGCAGATAGCGAAATTTGGGGAAGGGGCGCCACCGTACCTTTTGGGGTCTCACGTCCCATTGCGAGATCCTGGAAGCGTTAATGCCCCCCCCCCCCCCCCCGTTCCCCCCGTCCCTGGTAACAACAGCCAGGGTCGGACCCTCCATTTAATATACTTTTGAGGAAATTTTTAATTGATATAGCTGGATAGGGGTGGGGCTTTCATACTGAAGTGATGTATCTTACCAGTGGTTGAACGAAGTGAGCTCCTCGAAAAAATATATTGGGTTCAGTTACGTACGTCGAAGATCGCTCCTTCTACTACTAACCCACGTGGTAACTATCGGCAGCCGCTAGCTCCGTACGCTGCATTGTTTCCGTAAAATCCATTCTGGCCTTGACGAGACCCCAGCGGAAGGGGGAGGGGCAATACAACTTACGAAGGAAGCTGGAAGACGACCGCGACTGAAGCCATGACGTTTTAGCACCGTGAGCCTAAGGAACAACGTTGTCGATAGTTTCTTTGTTTCTCATTCAATGACGCTAAAATGCGACCGCTGGCAACTGTAATTTTCATCTTTTTCGAGAGCACAAAACTTATTTTGGAATATTGTTTTTTAGGCTACACTCGTTCAAGGGACCATCATGTACATGGTGTGCCGTTATCATGGGCCGGCAGGTCCGTGGCGGGTGGGATCGCCGGTGGCAGTCGGGCAGAGCCGGCGCTGACCGTGCGCGCCGGGCGCTGTGTTTCAGCGTTCCGTTGCAGCTACTGCTTCGCCTGGAACCCGGCGCGCAAGCAGCGTCCGTCGGCGCCGCGTCTGCCGGCGGCGCCCACCTCCGGCGAAAGCATGGTCGAGTCGGACACCACAGGTGGGCCGACACCGCTCCGGCTGCGCCGTGGCGCTAACGCGGCTTGACCTGGCCGACGCCAGCGCGAGTCAAATACATGCAGTTAATGTTTGTCGACTATTTCCTGTAGAACGTCCACGTGATTATTTCTATACCAACTTCGTAGCTTTCGTACCAAATTCGTTAGTTTTATACCACATTCGTCGCTATGTCAGGATTGCCACATATCAGGATCTCTGTGCCATAATTGGCTATTCTTCTGTCCGAAATGTACTGGCAATAGGCCAGTGTAACCCGCGTGATATGTCGCGCCTGTGTCCTTCGCCGTCATAAAGATTGTGCGGTGTGGCCTTCAGAGACGAGTGAGAGCGAGACAGAGCCGGACGTGCCGAGCCGGCCGCGGTCGGCGTCCGGGCCGGAGCCGGCCGGCCCCGCAGCCGACCCTGCCGCGACCGATGCGGCCCAGCCCAGCGCTGGGGTTTCCGAGCCGACCAGCATCGCTTCAGCCCAGCCTAGCGCTGGACCCACCGAACCGACCAGCACCGCTACAGCCCAGCCCAGCGCCGGCCCCGCCGAGCCGACCAGCACTGCTACAGCCCAGCCCAGCGTCGGGCCCGCCGAGCCGACCAGCACTGCTACAGCCCAACCCAGCGCCGGGCCCGCCGAGCCGGCGAGCGCGGACAGTGACCGGCTGGGGTCGAGTTCGGCGGGGGGCGAGGCTGACCCGAGGCCGCCGTCTGACGAAGAGCCGGCACCAGAGGCGCGGGCAGACCCACCGCCGCCCGGCGAGGAGCAGAGCGGTCTGCCGTCTAGTCCAGCGGCAGACGATCAAACGCAAGGTATGGGGCGTGCAAAGCAACTTGCAATAGGTGTGTGCCGTGTTCGACGCTAAGATTGCCTTAGCTGACACTCCGCTCCTGTGCTTAGACCGTTACCTCCGTGGCCGGAGGCTGACCAGCTCGATTCCGCCTGTTGCGATTTGCTGTGATCAGTGAAGGCGGTCGGTCGCGCGATGCCATCATATGTCGGCTGTTGTGTGCGGCGCCGCTCCGCCACGCCTATCTGACCTGTGACCGCTGACCCGAGCTGACCGCCGGCAGAGCGGCGGACTCCTCCGGCGGCCTCTGTCGACACACCGCCGCTGTCACTGGCGGGCGCCGAGCACGTGCCGTTCGCCGACGATAGCGGCGCCGAGACGTGATGCCGCCGGCCGACCGGGCCGGCCGGCTGCCCACTCAGGCGGGGTCGGGGGCGCGCCGCGGCGCCAGGCCTCAGGTGTAACGTCGGAGCCGTCTTGCCAGCGTGTTGTGCCTTAGTGGCGGCGGAGCGCGGCGCGAGTCCGCACCGTGAGAGCGGCGCTGGACGGCATCGTCGCGTCGCGATGGCTGTGTAGAAGCCATGACGGGTCGGAGAAGCTCCGGTTCGTCCTGTGCGTCGGACGGCTCGCCGCGCCGTAGCTCCCCTTTGATGTGCGAGCCCAGGTCAAGGCGTGTCGTGCCCCGCCCCCTCTGCGATGCGGTCGTGAGAGCTCATTAACAAGCGTCCGCTCGGTGGTTGAAATCTCAGCGGTGCTCATCTTCCTCGAGGCGTCGTGTGAAACGTATGTCGCCTGCTTGTGGCGGACGGGTATGCGGTGTAATAACGGTTTGGAATGGAATAAAAGAGTTGTATTAATATGTATCCCATCGGCTTTCATCCGGTGTCTGCTCTTTGACTTTGCGTACTAGTTATCCAGCGGTGTAATTTTGCAGCAGCCGGTCGAGTGCTGAGCTGAGATCGATTAGCCTGGGGCTTCCTCAAGTGCTAGACTCCTTGAATTGTGCTTTTTGGGAAAATTTATGTGCATGAACATGTTTGTTTTGACATTTCAATTAGAAAATAAACAGCTTCATGTTTTTTTGGTTATATTGATAGCTCCCTGTGGTTTTTGCTGCTGTCAGTTTTATTTCGTATACTTTTGGGCCCTGTGTCGCCAATTTTTTGTAAACTCATGGAGATGCGTGAAAAATTGAAACAAAAAGCCCAAAGTCAATGTTTGCGGAGCCCGCGATTGTTGGTGAGTTTCGCCACTGGTTGCATGGGCTTCATTAAATTTCTATCACCGTTATGTTTTGGTTGGAAACACCGCTGCCGAGGCTCGGGAGCTCGAATACCACTAGCTGCGGATTGAGGGATCGGGTCACCTCAATTCGTTGCGAGTCCACGCCCCTCGCCCCGTGCGGATGAACGGACTGCAGAACAGCTATGCATGTCGTAGCGAATGCTCTCGGTGTAAATAGAACCCAATTAAAATTGTCCACCTGTTCTAGAAACAGATTATAAGCGTACTCCACATTCAGGATTCTCGGGCATGTAACTCCATAGTATCAAAGCCGCCGAATGGTATCTGCCAAGCCATAGGCCCGCAAATCAGGCGCACGAATTTTAGCCATTGTTTTCTGGCGCTCGATATCGTCAACGACGCCCGTACCGTGTGTAAGACTATCCTTCGCCGGAAGTGCACTTACACCTTTAATGTGGGGTTTCTTTAAACGCGTAGGCAAATAGCCACCGACCTGCAGCCAATGCGTAGTTTTTTTGGGACCGTGCCCTTCCGTCTCGCAGAGCTCCCGGGACTAAAGGCCTCGTAATGTTCGACAATTTAAGGCGTCCGTAGTACTTTTTAAATACAGTTAGACGCCCCGGGGACTGAAAATACTGTCCCGAACCATACGAGGTCCCCGCAATCTGCAATTCTGGCTATGCAGCCGCAAATAACATGGGCTAGGGCTCGTGGGCGTGCGTCGATTCGTGAAAGCTCATGAGGGTGTGATGCACGCGAGTTAGATTTAGTCAGCTGTCAATTTGGTTGCTCCCTGAACTGCTTTATCGGCAACCTTGTCGGAGGCCAAAACGCCCCCTTGCTTGATATGTGTCCGTTACATACCCCCATTTAGTAGGCGTTTCCCTGCTGTCTGGATTCGTGGGTGGCTAGGGATCTGCGACTGGCGTCAAAGATGAGCAAGCATTACAGATAATTAAAGGACAGAGTGACGCGACCGCGAAATATGTAAGTGCATATGCTAGCTTTGAAAAGGCGTTGATGGGGGTTACGGAGTTTGAATGTTTGACTGGGGTAGTTGAGTAAGTAGGTACCTACCTACCTTTTACATCCAAGTACCCACTCAGCAGCCCCATCCTAACTTGCTGCAGCCTTAATGGGACTTGTTCTGGGGAGAGATAGTGTGGGCATGATATGTGAAGCAGATGCCAGCTGTGAATGTCATGTGGCACCAATTTACCTGCCCCACATATACCTGATTTTCATCATACTATTTCTCTGGGAAATTAGATCACTACAAAGGAATTGGAACAAGTAGGCATGGTCACAATTTAATTTTGCATGTCATGAATCTAGTCTGTTGTTTTACAAATATTACTGATGCCCCATCCCAGGACATTTTTGGCTCATTTGCATGAACGTGCCCACACTACTCAGTAGTGGTTTCATTTTTGGCAGCCTGGTGGGTCAGTCATGATCATAGGCTTTTTGTTAGGATGCCTGCCATAGAGGGGCAGGCATTTCATGAAATGATTGATGGGACTCAACAGCAAAAACTAACCCAACCTGCCCCCAAATATGCTAACAAACAGTTGTCTCCTGGATTTTTCCCACTTTGTTGCCAAATTTTGAAGATTGAAGCCCAAGCCTGGGGGGTTGGGCCGAGCCCACCCCCTCCCCTAATTGAATAAGAAGCTACCTCCCTGTTGCCATAGGATGCATGTGTGCTGTTGCCTAGCAAAATTTCTCGGGGTGAGTAGGGCGGAGGCCAGTGCAAAGAATTCATCTGCTGCCAGCATCTACACATCATCAATATGCTGAATGTAATACTTACCATGTGAACTGAATTTGGTATAAATAAGGTTTCTCAGAGTATGTATAAGAAATTACTTTGCTCTACATCATAATTCTGTGAGATATTAGCTCCTCATCCCAAAATTGGTCATGGTGATGCACCATGCTCATGACTGCTTAGATTTGTGTCAGTTATATGCTGAGATTGCTGCAGCAATTGTAGCATCTACACCTCCATGTATTTTACTATTTGTGTCAGGGGACTGCTTTATTAACCAAGGGTGTTCACCTGGTTTGGGTCAGGGATGAAGTGCCCCGGCAGTTCCAGAGTTTTTTGTTCAGCTATCTCTGCCCAAGCTGTCCTATCAAAAATAGTAGTGAAAGTGAAAGAAATATTTCAAATATGGGATGGGATAGGAGAGGATCATGTGATTTCAGAACAGCCCAAATCAGCTTGCTATCTGTAAATTTGGTGGTGTACCTGTGTATACTGCCACTGTTCAAACTGTGCTCGATAGCAGCTGCCATCTGTGTATTTCTGAGATGCCCAAGACTCATATTCTCTGCTGGGTTTACACATTGGGCATGCTGCTGGATGTATCCAACTGGCTGTTGTAGAAGATTCAATATATATTGGTGAAACATAAACACAATATGTACTGGTGAAATTAAATGACCAAAGAGTGTGCTGGAAACCAGTATAGTAGTTGTTTATCAGATATTGTTGAACATTTATTGGGTAGGTCATCAACTGACAATAAGTAGCAACTCAGTAGGAGGTCAAGGCTGGATGTCAAATGGAACTCGGCATCCTTGTAGAAACACCAAGAAGTATTGCACAGTCTTCTTGCCTTAAGCAGTGCAATTATTTTGTTTATTATCATGTAATTGCAATTTATTCCAGTGGAAGATTGCTTCATCTTTCACTTTTGTCCACTGTTGATTTTGATTCACATTTAATACAAGGAGCGCCTTAAATAAAAGTAGATTTTTTTGTTTTTCAAGCATGGATTTTGTCTGCCTTTTCTTATTTTTCATGACACACAATGGTCCAAACTGTGACTTTGATGCAAAATCACCCTGGGAGTGTCAGAACATGTAAATGGTGTATGGCCCAAAACCAGGGTCAGAATACTGACCCATGCTCGTGCCACCACGTCCTGTTTTATGCTGTAGAACGAACTGCTCGTCCTGTTACATCGAGTCGCTCTGCGACGGCTTGGACAGTACGGACGGCACGGACGCGACTGGGATCTCGCGGTAGAGCGAACTGGCCGGTTTCTGCGGTAGCTGCACGATCGGTCGGTTCGTCATTTCGAGCAGCACGTCCAGGAAGCCGTGACGCCGCAGGAACTGGCCGTAGCGCTGGCTGCTGGGTGGCGGCTGGCCGCTGGGCCACGCGCACTGCAGGTACAGCGCGCGCGTCATGCGGCCAGGCGGCGGCCGCTCGTACGTCTGCTCGTACAGCACGTAGTCGTCGACGGAGAGCAGCTCGCGCACGGAGCCGGTGATGGTGCGGATGTGCTCCCAGTCGGTGATGCCCATGCGCGGCAGGTTGGACGCCGTCAGCAGGCAAAGTCGGCGGCCGCAGATGTTGTTGTTGAGCAGGGCGTCCACGTACTGCGACAGGCCGAGCCGGCCAAGCCACCCGCGAATCTCGCACGGACCCCAGCCTAGGCAGCGCGGCAGGCGTACGTCAGGCACGTCCATGGCGACCAGGTCGTCCACCGTCTTGCGGTGCCAGTCGCCCGAGCAGGGTGCGTCCCGCGCCGGCGGTGGCGGCGGCGCCGGCGCCGGGGCCGGGGCCGGGGCCGGCGTCTCCGGTGGCGGCTCCGGCAACCCGGGCTCGCTATATACGGGCGTCTCCGAGTACGGCCGGAACGCTGGACTGTCGCTGGTGCCTGGCACGGTCACTGTGACATCGCCTGTGGCACCCTCATTCGCTCCGCCCTCGCCCTCGCCCCCGTCCGCATCCGCGTCGCCCGGCGCGCCCGGCACGACGATGCTGAACGCGTCGTCGAGCTCGGCCGGCGCCGGGCTCGCACTCGGCTCGGGCACAGGCAGTTCGAGCGTCGGCCCTGTCATCGGGGCGACGGGCGGCACGGCGTAGCTCTCTTCTGCCGCATCGGTCGGCTCCTCCGCCGCCGGCGTGGCTTGGTCGGGCTCTGCCGCTGGCGTGTCCGGCTCAGGCTCTGCCGCTGGCGTGTCCGACTCGGGCTCTGCCGCCGACGTGTCTTGCTCGGGCTCTGCTGCTGGCGTGTCCTGCTCGGGCTCTGCCGCCGGCGTGTCCGACTCAGGCTCTGCTGCTGGCGTGTCCTGCTCGGGCTCTGCCGCCGGCGTGTCCGGCTCTTGCTCCGCCGCCGGCGTGACCTGCTCGGGCTCTGCCGCTGGCGTGCCCTGCTCAGGCTCCGCCGCCGGCGCGTCCGGTTCTTGCTCCGCCGCCGGCGTGTCCTGCTCGGGCTCTACCGCCGGCGTGTCGGGCTCGGGCTCCGCTGCCAGTGTGTTCTGCTCGGGCTCTGCCGCTGGCGTGTCCTGCTCGGGCTCCATATCGAGCGCTACTGGATCTGGGGCGGACTCACCACCACTGTGCGATTCAGCCACGGTAGCGGCGTCGTCGGTAGGCTGGTCACCGTCCTGCGGGCGATCGACAGCGGCGGCGTCTGGAGGCGGCTCCGACTCCTCCTCGTCTCCAGGTGGCTGTGTCACTGCCGAGTCCTGGAGCCGCATGGGTCCTGCATCATCCTCGATCGACTTTGAATCTGCCGCGTCCTGCGCAAGCTGCGGTGTTGCGTCCTCTTCGACTGTCTCGGGGTCAGCTGGGCTTTCGCTTGGCTCGGGGTCTGCCACTCCGTGCTCAATCGGCTCAGAGTGCTCAACCCCGGGTGGCTCGGACACCTTTTGGTCGCCATTCTCCCGGAGTTCTGTCTCGTCCTGGCCGTTGCTCGGGGCATCGGGATCTTGCTCAGGCTCGGCATTGGCGTCACATTGCGACTGTTGGGCTACCGGCTCTTTTACGGAGGCGTTCGAGCTGGAGTTTGTCGCGGTGTTGGTGTCGGGCTCCCCCGCGCCGGTGTCCTCGGCGGGCTCCTCTCCGCCCATTGTGCTTGCGGCAGAGCGACTATGCAGACCGCGAATGGTGACGTCACATGGCCATGTACGGTCAGACGGATGGTTCCTGACTGTTTAAATGAGTCATCGTTTTGTTTACACTGTCGCTGCTTGGGGGGAGCAGATTTCGGTGCGTTCTTGGAGCGGTCGTAAACCACGCTGCTCGGCTCGGACTGTGAGGAAGTACGCGGCCAAAGAGGGCTTAGATCAACTTGGAGACTGTTGGTTTCGCGCAGTTGGCGCAGTTCATTGCTGTATGTTTTCCAGTATTTTTTCTTGGGTTTCCAAAGTTTTTAGCGTGGCGTTTCATTTGTTACACCTTTGCTTTCGGTAAACTGTGTGCGGATGACAAGTCATCACATAGCTGGTGTGCATGCAAGGTAATACTGACACAAATGTAGATTTTGGTTCAAAGTCTCAGTGCCTGTGACAGATATCGCGAGCGTGACGGGAACGGAGTCTGGGGTACCGGCTGCTTGATCACCCGTCTGACCAGTTCCGTGGGCGCGCTGTTTCAGGTTCTGTGGTATTCATGCGGCATGAGCACCGAGCGGCTGCAGCAGCGTGAGCCGGCGGGCGGGGGCGGCTGGCTGTCGCCGCCAGACGGCCCGGGCCGCGCCATCGTGACTCACGCTGACGTCACGTGCGCCCACTTTCAGACCGGACTTCCGCCGCGCGGCGCAAAGATGGGCAAGTTCTTGTCGAAGATATTCGGCAACAAGGAGATCCGGATTCTGATGCTGGGCCTGGACGCCGCGGGCAAGACCAGTATCCTTTTGGGCTGCACGCGGCCGTCTGCGTCACCAGCTGTTGGCGACATCGTCCGAGAGCTTGTCGTGTGTAGTGCTGAATTGCAAAAGTAAAGACATTGTCGATTTATCTCTGTTGCAAGAGCCTGTCTTAGTGCTATCCAGCGCGCGCGCAGCTTGTGCAAGTGCTATCCAGCCGTTCAAGCGTTCCATTCCCTGCAGATGTTGGGGCACATTTTAGCGAATGTTTGTGCAGGACACCGAGATAAATCTTCATCGAGGTATGCTGTTGCCGTGGGCACCGCTACGTGTTTGGATATGCCATGCACGTGTATGCCATCATATCTTCCTTGACCGCCCCTGCAGCTATTTTATACAAGCTGAAACTAGGTCAATCCGTCACAACGATACCAACAGTGGGATTCAACGTAGAAACTGTATCGTACAAAAATGTTAAATTCAATGTATGGGTACGTATGTTCGTTGTCTTATGTGCGCTTAAGCATCTTAAGCATTTATGGTCAGAAAGATGGTCGGTGTTTCATGGAATGTGTTCAGAAGAGGTGGTCATTATTTTGTGGAATTAAACCCTCAGTTCAACAGTTCGACCTCTTGTTCAACGTTGCTTGCGCTGTATTTCCAACACGGTTTGTGCGTTTGTGTATTGATTTCCGTCGAGCTCATGAAATTATTTGCGTCAGCTATTCCATTAGTAAAAATCACCGTCACTGATTCACTGCTTAGAACCGATCTCGCGACCTGGAGAGCTGTATTGTGAGCCGCCACGGCTCGGTCGGAAGTGACAGTGCTGCTGTGTTCTAGGCGTAGCGCTTTGCCTTCAGGAAAAGATGCTATCGTCTCTGTGCGCCGTGCGCCGTATCGTCTCTGTGCGCCGTGTGCTCTCTGGCTCTGGCTGTGTGTGTGGAGTCAGTCTTGTTCGGGGCTGCTCTGAGGCTCCGTGGGCTGGCTCGGGCCTCACCCCGTGGCGGCGCCCGTCGGCAGGACGTGGGCGGTCAGGACAAGATCCGGCCGCTCTGGCGACACTACTACACCGGCACGCAGGGCCTCATCTTCGTGGTGGACTGCGCCGACCGCGACCGCATCGACGAGGCCAAGCAGGAGCTGCATCGCATCATCAACGACAGAGAGATGCGCGACGCCATCATCCTGGTATTCGCCAACAAACAGGACTTGCCCGACGGTGAGTGGCGGCCGGGGGCGAGAGCGGAGCCGGAGCGGGAACGGTGGCGGGGACGGGGGTGGAGCGGGAGCAGTGGTGGGGGTGGGGGCCGGGGCGGAGTCGGGGCGGGAGTGTGGTAGCGGGGATGTGGAGGGCGAGAGGGGTATGACGCCTGTGAGGAGGGAGGAGCTTGGTGTGCCGCGGCCGACCCGAACTGACCGCGGATCATAGGTACAGTGTTCACTGCTGGGTCAGTGTCGAATCGTTTTCGTCGTGGCTCTGGTATGGATATGACGGAGTATCATGTGGCGTCATCCAGCATTGATCCACGTGTGTGTCACCCGTCTGACCACCCTGTCTGGTCCGGTCCATGGCACCAGCCTCCGTGCCGCGTGCGCCAACCGTCGCGCGTGCTGCCGCCTGCGTGACTCGGTCCCCTCACCGGCAGCGATGAAGCCGCACGAGATCCAGGAGAAGCTGGGTCTCACGCGCATCAACGACCGCAACTGGTACGTGCAGCCGGCGTGCGCCACCACCGGCGACGGCCTGTTCGAGGGCCTCATGTGGCTGACGTCGAACCACAAGTCGTGAGGTCCGGCCGGGCGGCGCCGCCGGCTCGCCGCTGCTGCTAGTCCCGCCGCCGCCGCCGCCGCCGCCGACCTGTTGTTATTCCTGTTGCCGGCCGGCCGACGGCCGACGGTGGACGGTGCCGGCGCCGCCTGACGCCATTCCAGCGGGCAGCCGACCGCCGGCGGGGTCCGGCGGCGCCGCGGCGGGTGGACTGAGCCGCGCCGCTTCATATCAGGCCCGCTCTGTGGGCGGCGAGCGTGTGGGCCCGTCCGGAGAGCGCCGCTCCACCAGCCGGACGCTAGATGCCATTTGGACCCGGATAAATCACTATATTATTTAAAGTAGCCGATAGCTTGGTGCGGTGTCCCGCGGCGTCGGGGCGCGCTGGCGATCGCACGCGATGCGATCGACGAGGCCGAGGGGCCGTGCTGTTATGAGCGCTGGACGAACGCAGTGCTGCGCATGCGCCGGCGAGGATCGTCCAGCGCGGAGCGGCGTCCAGTACGCCGCGCGCTCGAGGCGTGCGTCTGGCGTGTCTGCCTCGCGGTGCGCTGGCGAGGACGCGATGTGCCTCGCGGTCGCCCGCCTCGGAACGCTCGTCGGCCGCCGCGGTTACGAGGGTCTTCCGATCGCGATATTAACGAGCGCCCTTCTGCTGACCTTCTGCTGAGCCAATGGACGCGGGCTGGGGCCGGGAGAACGTCTGGAAACGTCGCGACGCGTTGTAAGCATGTGTACCTTGTCGACCGATCCCCGCTCATTCAGTGACGAGTTCTCATGAATAAAATGCTTGATACACTATGTGTTCGCGGTCTTTGGCATAGCCACGTAGCCCGAAAGTGACACAAGCTTACGGCGCACGTGCCGCGTCCGGAGGGAGGGACTAAATAACCGACATATTAATTAAGCAGACACACTCGTTCTCCGAAACCTCTGATCAGATCGCTCTAAAGTCTCCAATGAATTCAGCGCGGTGAGGTGAGCAGTTGGGTGGCAATATCGTGACCTAACTCAGGGGGCTACGCTCGACAAACGCGGGGGAAACTTAACAGTCAAAGCAAACAGCTCAGATTTCAGAACGCACTGTTACCATGCAGCTGGTCGTGACCTTGGGCCAGTGCGGACGCAGTCCTCCGGTGCTCCTCCGACCGGCGTATGACCGACGTGACCTGGGCAGCTCGCTGGGCAGGGCGGTTTTTAGTGAAAATTTGTGAGTATGGTGTAAGTGGTCAGCACGACTGCTGTGGGCCAGAGCACCGCGGAGAGTGCAACGCAGGCGGTTTCTATTGCGACGGATGAGATGCCGTCAAGACCGAAACGGAGACGGCAAAGTCGGCATCCTCTGCGATCCAAAATTTAGAGGATCAAACGGAAAAGGAAAGGCACCACATCCAGCGGCAAGTGCTTTACTCCGCCCCAGATTATGAACGGTGGTATTGCAATCTTTATGGGAGGTAATCGAAGGGACTATACAAAAAAGTACATACGGACAAACGTGGAAGCAGCAGTTGACGCCAAGAGCAAAAAGCTCGCCCAAGTCGATGAGAAAACTGATTACCTAGAATCCACACACTTTGTTTGAAAAAGTTTTGGTTTGGTTTGGTTTGAAAAAGGTTTGAAAAAGAACAAGAGGCTGGTTCACTGATCGTCACACTAATGTCGGCACGCGTCAGGAGCCGTGTAATCGACGACGGCGGTAACGGAGCATGCATTTCACTGATAACCGTGTCACTTAATCCATCCCGCAAGACGTTAAGTGGTAACCGTAACGCTTAAGTCCACAATTAAGATATCCAGGAGATGAGTTTGTCATACAACGCTGGAAAATGTCCATCGCTCTTATCATGAAGCTTGGCATAGCCTGGGCTTGAGTTACGAGGAGAGACAAAATTGACTTTCGATCAGAAGCCAAAACCTGTGGGGATTCAAGTTCGCGACGTACTTTGTTTGAGGGACACTTTGGTCACGGTGGATTCGTGATCAAACCCCGCTTCTCACTGGAAGCAACTTGATCGCGTGTTATGATCCATAAATGATGTTACTTTCGTAATTAGAAATCAAATGGCAGGCGATAAAAAAGTGAACGTTCAAAACTTGCGCTTACCTAATCCAGGTACTCCACGGCAAAAGGTGTCAAATAAGCCGGACCATGTTGCTAAAAAATCCAAAGGATGCAAAAAGCGTGCATTTATATCCGCATACAACCATCAAGGGTCAAGAGCTGCCCCGGAATATGAGCTTTCCTTTTAACGTACGGGTGCAGCTTCGTCTATTGCATCAGCTCTGAGCTGTAATTTTGGCTCGAGCAGTCAAGCATCTCAAGAAAACATACGTCCGATTATCCAAGTGCAAGCGATTGAGGCAACATTCGTTTAATAGGATTGCGTTCGGTCGAAAGATAAAGAAGAGAATAGGCCTGTTACAGAATTTGGCGAAACAAATTCAAAACAATAACGAATTGAAAACACTGGAAGGACCTCTCCTAGAACGCGATTCTGAGGATGAAAACTTAGCGCAAAATGCTCACGAGAGCGGTATGAAAACATGGGATAGGAAGGCTCAGACGATCAATGTCTACCGAACAAACTTCTTTATCGTGGTCCGGACACAGAAACGTCTGAAGTTTAAGCGTGTAAATTTGCAGCTCTTAAAAAGCGGACAGCAAGAGGGATAACACGATACATTTGTTCAAGCACATGCTGTCGAGACAGGACCACAGCATGAACAATGTAGTATCACGACTGATTGACAGGCAAAAGGACATGTTTTTGGTGATGTTAGATTTTAAACCCACATTGGAGCAATGTCGAACGAATCACACAACCCTGAAGATAGCAGCGCCATCTATAACCGGTTTGTTACGCGTGCCGCTAGGTGTTGGACAAAACGAGCCGCCAGCGATCAAAGGGGCGGCGATTCGCAAAACGAAACAAACTCACACTCGAGGCGACATATTGAAGCGTTCAACGTCACAGGTAGCTCACAAAAGAAGCGTTGCACGTCTTGGAACAATGGCCAGTTACGAATCACATTTGCAATTAACTGTAAAAATTCCTCATACTTTTAGACAAGTGTGCCCAGGCAGCCAGGCGCACAGAGAGAGCCTTGGCAAGTAGGAGGCACAGATTTGGCAAAAGGTGCTCTCATAGCAAAAGCCCCGCGCAAAAAAATCGCCGGGATGGTCTGTTTGTTAATGCAAGCATGTTCTGTTTGATATTTTTCATTTTTACCTCCTATAACTGAAATCAAAGCCAGAAGCTATCGCGAGACCAATTCCTCCTGAATCTTATGGCCTACGGACTGAAGAAATTGTGCGTTAAGCGAACGCATGAAATAAATCGCCCACTTTGTTCATTTTACAGTGGTTAAGTGGACTCTTCCTAAACTGATAAGCCTCAGAAGCTTTATCAGAACCTGTGTTTGGGCTGTACAAATATATTAATGGTCCCGTAATTCTAGATCTAAATGGGTTAACATTGAGTGATTGCATGGCTAAGTCATAGTTGTCGGAAACTGCTTATTCAAGAACTCGGTGCCAAGCGTTGCAGTCTTTATAGGCCGCGCGACGTCGGCCCCGTAGCTAATACTAAGTCTTGGCCGACGGGTGGGCGAAAATGATGTCGCATTTGAAAGAAAGAGCTTTGAACGCTTATGATACCGTGTCGTACATCTGGAAAACAGTCCGGACTTATATTTCACCTGAGCGATTTTTAGATTGATGATAAGAACGGATTGGTTTCTACAGCACTGCGAAGTAGTGCCGAAATCTGGTGGTAGAACTGGAAGAGTAAGGGCAGAATCTCTACTTTTTGTGCTGCTGTAACTGCTAATCTGTACAAAGGACTGCCTCAAGGTTACCGAAAGGATACGCCTAGTCTCGTGTTGGGGGGGGGGGGGTATACGAATCAATTTTGAAAGACATTCGGAACCATTATTTTACGACGGTCGTTCTCGCGCGCACGGCGCCCGCCGCCTGGTATTAGGTGCAGTGACTAACGTCGTTCAGTTTCACAACCCAGGCCATCGCTGTCTGTGCTCCCGAGGTTGCGGGTGCGCAAGCTCAAACCTTTTGATGTAGTTTGTTTTATTAGCCGATTCTGCAATGGAACACACGTTCTCAGGCAAACATGGGATGGCCTTGTTCGTTTTTGAACTCATTTCGATCCACTCTATTTAACACTAATGAGATCCCTTAGTTCTTTCCGCGGGAGGGTATCTTGGGAAGAGCACCAGGTGTCGCATGATGGTTCCTGTTCAAGGGCTGAAGAGCTATTCCGTCGCACCGCGGGGTGTCTTCCGGCCGTCATTCTGGTGACAAGGGTCGGGATCCCCTGGCCGATCCAGGGGCTCTTTAAGGGATACACCATATTACATTGGTTCCCTTTCTGACGCGAGAGGCCCTCTGACCCGTACAGTTGACCTCGGGTCGACGCAAGAATCCTCATTGACGCAACAACATCCCTGATCGCCTCAGGTGGTCCAATAATGATACGTAGACACCAGTTTGGCTTAGCGGACTTAGATGTTAAAAACCGGTTGGAGGGCCCACTGTTCGGCACTGGGGGCCCTGACTGGCACAAGACTCATCCACTGTCCCAATGTATATGATCATCACAAGTTATCATGTTTTCTTTCATTGTCAGAGGTCCCCGACCAACGTAAGAGGCCCTCTGTCATTCGGAGTCCCGTCCCTGTCCCTTTTGAGCAAATTTAAGCACTGTGGGCCCCTGAACGATATAGGAGCCCCGCATTCTTGCAGGGACCCCAACCACTGCAAATCTCGGACTCGGCCGCTTGGAAAATGGGGCCCGAGAGACCAAACCGACACGGAGTCTACTAGTGGGTGTTGGTGATCTCCGAGCGAAATAGAGGAACGCACTGTCTCAGGGACACCCGGTCGGCACAAGAGGCCCTCCAACTGACAGCTGAGGTCACGGTCTTTCGGGCGGGGTCCCTGATGTACCATACAGTCAGCCCTTTGGACGTTTCAATCTTCCAATCGAGCCCTTGATGCTTGGTCTCAAGAGACCCTTCGACCCCTCTTCGGGCCTCTAAAGGATTGCTTCTGGCCGACTGGGGGCCAGT